TCTACAAAAAGACAAATTTTAGATTTAAAGACAAAAATATGTTGAAAGTAAAAGGGTAGCATGGGCACAGTGGCTCATGCCTGTAATTCCAGCACTGTGGGAGGATCACTGAAGGCCAGGAGTTTGAGATCAGCCTGGGCAACATAGCAAGAGCCCATCTCTACAAAAAATTTAAAAACTAGCTGAGCATGGTAGCCTTCTGCTTGGGAGCCTGAAGCAGAAGGATCACTTGAGCCCAGGGTTCGAGGTTGCAGTGAGCTATTACCATGCCACTGCATGCCAGCCTGGGCGCAACAGAGCAACCTTGTCTCAAAAAAAAAAAAGGTAAAAATGACAAAAATATACTATATGCAATTAGTAACCCTAAGAGAGCTGGAGTGATTATTAACATTAGACAGATGGGCTAGTAATGTTACTAGTCAAGTATTACTAGAAAACAGGGACATTTTATAAAGATAAGAGAGTCAATACATTGGGAAGATGTAACAATTATATATGTATACACACCTAACAGCAGAGCCCCAAAATACGTGAAACAAGAACCAAGAGATGTGAAAGGGACATAAATGCTTCAACAACAGAGTTGACAATTTGAACCAAACAGAAAAAAATTTTGTTTTCTTCTGATTCTTTTATTGTTACTTCATGACACTTTTTGTTTCTCTCCATCATGAATTTTCTTTGACCTGAAAGTTAATGCTAAAGGCTTGATCATGTCAGGTTATAGATTTTTGGCAAAAGTAATTTTTTGTACTTCATATTGCATCACATCAGAAAGGCACATAATGTTCAGCTTTCCTTCATTAGTGATAACTAAGATTTCAGGGTTGCACACTGAAAACTAGGTGAAAAAAAAGATTTCAGGGTAACCAAATAGTTGGTGAGGTAGATTTTTTCAGTAGACTTATCACTTACAATAAATGAAGAGGAAATGATAGAATTTAAATATTACTGTTTTGTCACCCCAGTGAAATAATAAATCTAGACAATAATCATCAATGAAAAGTTGATGAAGAACTTCATAATAGATAGATTTGTCCTTCATTACTTGAACCTACTGATTTAACACCATTGAAAGCGAGATTACCACCTTTGAGATATTCCTGAGGGAAAAAAGAATCTGAATGTAATAGATTCTAGAGTAACTACAGGTTGAGCATCCCTAATCCAAAAATCCAAAATGCTCTGAAATCTGAAGGGTGATACTCAAAGGAAATACTCCCTGGAGCATTTCAGATTTTCAGATTAGGGATGCTCAGTCGATAAGTATAATGCAAATGTTTCTAAATCCAAAAAATTTCAAAATCCAAAACATTTCTGATCCCAAGCATTTTGGATAAAGGATACTGTACCAGTTTTTGAGAAAACAAGAGGATAGAAGAATGTGTTAAATGAGACTACAGGGATTCAATTAGCCAAATTCAGAATGTGGAAAAGGAGTAACTATTAAAGATTAAAGAAACATAAAGGACATACTAACCAAATTTAATTGTTTGGATTCTTATTTGAACAAACTAAAAACACAATTTTTGAGAAAACTGTGAACTGCATGTGAAATGATAATAAGAAATTATTGTTTAATTTTTTTGAAGATAGTAAGTTTTATTTTTAAGTCCTCATCTGTTAGAGATATACTTAAATATTTAGGGGTGAAATTATATACAGTTGACCCTTGAGTTAGGGGGTTAGGCGTGCCACCACCTCGGTACAGTCAGAAATCCTTGTGGAAGTAGATCAACATAAAGGTCTTCATCGTCGTCATGTCAGTGTTCAGTATGTTAAGGAGGAAGAGGAAGAGGAGGGATCAGTCGTCCTGTGTCAGAGGTGACAGAGGTACAAGAGCTAAAGAAGACAGAAGGGGAAGTAGGAGAGGTAGACACACTGTGTAACTTTACAGAAATACATCATAA